ATTATATATATATGTCTACCGTTACGATCCTAGTGCCATTCGAGGAAAGTACGTGTGCAGCTCTATGGGAATCATGCTACTCACAATTTCAATAGCCTTCACATAAACAGTAATGTTGCCCGTTCCATCCGGCAGTGGATAGTCGCTCGAGAAATCCTCTGCAGGATGTTCAGATCACTGGCACAGCAACAACGGGGCATGAGGGTTAATTGTAGGTTTTCACTGAATATGCACAGACCCCGAAACTGTGTGAATTGAATGCACGGTTAGGTGCGTTGCTGCCTTTGTGAGCCTGTAATGGATTATTAGTGGATTACTGTTGTATGAGGTCGGATGAGAAGAGCAAATGTCCCACGCATATTCTTGGAAATCTTCCAACATCTTTCTGAAGTGTTGGTATTTCTGCAATACGCAGACCACGAGACACCAACAGGTTGTCCCGAAATGTCAACGCTTGACTCTCTGTCCAAATGAGAAACAAACCTTAACCAAACTGGCCATTTGTGAAAAGTGAAGCCTATGTGAGCTCACGCACCGAAGTCGCCCTTGCTTCCTGTGCTTGGCACTAGGCCGTACCCCTCACTTACCCGTCCAAGTAGTGGAAAGGTATACGCTGGGTAGAGATCTCCATAATGCCGGGAATTCTTATCTCCAACAGGCACTTGAGTTTGGTGCTCAATTCGCTGCCTTGCAGTGCTCCGGCTGCTGCCTTGGCCCGAAGCAATGCCGCTCGGGCCAACAGCAGCAGCGGTAGGCCTTGGAGAAGAAACTTCGCCGGTTTTATTGTCTTCTGCAGGTCCTTCGTGTTGGTTGTTCGAAGATCCTGGGCTCCACAACCTCGACAGGAATGAAGTCGTCTCTTGTCGCTGTCTACTTGGCCGCGTGGGGCTACCTTCAACGCAAACAGTATCTTCTTCTCCGTATTCCTGTGCAGATGGAACAGTGAACATCATGAAAACTCCACATTTAGTTTATTACCAGCAGAGCACTGCTGCATCTACTGTGCGTAACATCCAAAGTGGTCTTACACTGCCCAGCAGGGGTTGCTTCTCCTCCTCCCACTCGCCACCGCCTTCCGCCAATATCCTCACTGGTGCCCTTCTGAGAGTTCCTAGTTTCATTGTGCATTTCACAACAATGAAAGCCAGCGCAGTAGAAACAGTCACCCACAACGCAATTCGCCAGGCGCTACTTCGGCGGCTAAGTCCTCCACGGAGCGAATTGCACTTGACAACATTTTCAATTTTCAAGGATGGATCAGCTCTAAACTTTGCTTCTTCAAAGTATCCGGAGTCAGCCACTCCTCCTCCCATTGTCCGTGCTTGAGACGTCCAAAGGCACCCTGCTCGACCAAGACGGGCACTCTACAAGGGAAAGCTCAGTAACCTGCACCTTTGCAATGCACGAAGAAGCCCAAACGTCTTGTCTACTCCACCGTCGGGAAAGACGCTCTCTGCCTCTATGTGTCCTCTGCCTCTATGTGCCGAAAGCCAGATCAGCTATGCAGGGCACATGAGCCGATTCTCCCTGTTACTCCTGCGAACCCTCCAACTGGAAACCACAGTCACGTGGATACGAAGGTTACGTGCAAGGATCCACTTGCAACATTATATGGATATCTAAACTCTCTCGCTCGAGTTAGAAGTCTAGAAGCATCGAAGGATGGCTGAGAAACAAGCAACAGCGAATGTTCGTGCTCCCGGCATGCGATGTTAACGGTCCCCACAATCTTTTGACAAGCTTGACAAATATACTTCCGTATATGAAATATGGGGTGAGTGGAATGCACGGTTGGTGCCTGCGGGGACACGTAGAGGATCGCTCCAGTATTCTGATGCTCACGGCAAGTCCCATGAGCGGTCAATTGCAGCAGAACAAATACACTAGTTTTAGTTCGTCACCCTTATATACACTACATTTGATCAAATTAAGTTGTTCTATATTTCATTTATATAGTCTTAAGCAACTGGACCCTTGTCTTTGCTAAAGGTGACGAGGCTTGTGGCGGATGAGACCTTCGGGGTCGGCTGTGCCGCTTTCCTTTTCAAAGCCAGACTGCATGATGCGTGCTTCTTCATTGAAAACGTGGAAAAACAAGGAGCTTTGGGTGTCGTTGTACTTGTCCCGTAGGAAGACACAGCCATCCTTGGTAATGGGCACGCATTGTATTAGTTGTTGGCAAGGTCTGTCAAGGACATGCAATTTTTCTTAGACAGGCAATTTCGTACCCGGAAAGTGCTTAGCAGCTGCCTACATAAGTCACATGCACAAACAAGGGTGTTCGTGCATCATGTCATTTTTGCCTTTCACGAGAAACTACAGAGACGTGCGTCGCGTTTCAACTCAGGCTAGGCCAGCTGATCCACGCAATAGAGCAAGCTTTGTGCCGCCTACGATGCCTATAAACTGGAACAAATTACAAGCTGTTTGTGAGCTGCTACCTCTAATATTCTTGGTCGGCTGCAGCTGACGGCATCCTGCAGCTAAGCTGGGAACCCCAGGCTGCTCCTCTGCACCAAGCGTAACATAGTCCCTCCCAGGATGATGCACCGAAGTCTGTCTGATTGCGGAAATAGCCTCATTTCAACCTTACCAGGCAACCTGCACATAAACGGAAGCTTTTAGTAGCCGTACACTTAGTAGCATAGCATGGTACTGTCATGCGGGTTAGAATAACTACACTCAACCCCGCAGCAGAGTGGCCTGCTTCACAACAGTGAGTAGTGCCGAAGGTGCTTCAAAATAAGTGCATGCACGCAAAAGTTCATCTATAACCCTCCCAAAATATTCGTCAAACCTCAGCCTTTTTTTCCTCTTGCACAATGAAAAATGACCAGGACCTACCATCCTGCGAGGAGTTGAGTAACTGTTGGCATGCTGTGGAGCGCCAACTGGGGGAGAATGGAATCTTAAACGTTTGAAAGACAATTCTTAGAGGAAAAAGAAACGGGGGATTATGCGTTAATTGGCGAGGAGAAAAGCACGTTGAATTGATTCCTGAAAATCCTCTGCGCAGAACTTTTCCTCGTGAGCATGCAATCGCTGGTAACTGGTGGATGCATCGGGCTGAGCAACACAACTCAAAGTTGGGACTCGTCAATCTCCTCGGTAATCGTTTGTGTGTCATAACCCAGGAGGAGGCCAAGAATTTTCGCATTATATGCGTTATGGTATATCTCCTATTTCTTTTGCTGTTATCTAGTTTCCCCTACAGCAAGCTTTTTTCAACCTTGTGTGTATTAGCTCATCCTGTGTCAGCAACCCAGAACGTCAGCCGCTGCTATCGAGGCTGACGGTTTATTCAAACAAAAGAGCATTCCGTTGTCGCCTCTGTTTGCTTGACAAGGCTGCAGGGGCTCACATAGCAAGAAAAGCCAGTAGCAACAGCACCAAACCCCAGAGCATGACGTGTCTTGCACGTCCTGAAGCGATCATCTGAGCAGCAGCAGCTGCAGCAGCCGCTGACCTCGAGCAACGCGTTGGCTAGATGCGGGGACTGTCCTGCTAGGAGACAGATTGCGCGGAGAGCAAAACTAGACGGCGGCCGCCTGGGCTGGGAAGCAACGGAGGGGAATTAGAAGCCAATACAGCCACCTTGAGCTTTTAGACGGGCACACGAGGACTTTTTGCTTCTTGCGCGATGGGGCGGGTAGATGTAACGTAGTTCGTGCGGCGCATCCAAGTATTCCTGAAGCTCGCGCATGGAACTTAACCCAACTCAGGTGCGGTAGGCGAGCACAAGTTTCCAGAAACTGCCTACATCGCTTGTACCTGCAGCCATGAAGGCTGTGTGTACATCTTTGTGTGGCGTCCTGCACCCTGACTGGCAGCAAGTTGCACTGTATATCGTGCCAGGGCCCATACACTCCTCAAAGCGACCAAGGAGCTGCTCCCAGGAAGCCTGAAGACTGGGGGTGGAGGTCAGCTGCTTTTTAATCAAATATCATATCAAGTGTTTCGGCTCCACTGCTTACAGGACCCAGGACCCAGGACCCAGGACCCGCTCTGCACAACAGCCATATTCCACAACCCGTTACTTTTTTGTAGAGCCGGGTAGTACAATAAAGCGCCCGAAGACTGTTTTGGAAAACAGACCGAACCGTGTAGCGCACGTCTTAATAATAGGTGTGGTACAATTAGAGAAGTATACAGGGGCTTCGATGATGGCTGCCTTGAGCCTTCGGGCTCAGATGCTGTCTAGGCCAGTGGCAGTCGGCAGCTACACTCTGCACGCAACAATGCAAAGAAAAGCCTTCTATGCCCAGTTATCCAAGTTTATTGCTAAAAGGCATGCAGTTTTGGGCATCACTAAAGTTAGCCCCAAAGTTGGCCGCTCACGGAGACTGCTTTGCGTACCAAGCTGGATCGAGCAACAACTACATAGGCACGTTAGTCCGATCATTGCCTCAAAACTCCTTGTCTATTGTTTCTATTGTGGAAATATTGTTTTTGAAGCATTTTGAATCGAGTTAGCACCTTATATAGGCGTGTGGGCCTGTCTGCAATACGCATAATTCAGCTGCTGTCCCACCGACCGCTCCGGAACTTGGGTGCGATCGTCTCCTCCCTCTAGACTCTTCTTTGCACCTGGCAAGACAAACTTTTTCTAGAACCCTATTTAGAGTCGAGTCTGAATGAACTATTGTGACTCTTGCAGGAGGCTGCTCAGAGGTTGCTTCTGGGAGCGGCATCGTCGTGTGGCATGTTGTCTCCTATTCCATCATTCGTGGGTATTTCACCAATATACAATACCTGGGGAGGGAGTGCCGATTTGACAGCTCAGTAAGGCAGTGTGCCGAGACCAGCACTGGGTGGCGGCAATGGAAGCACGAGCGTCTGGTTCCGAGTCCTCCACTATGGGAGCCTTCCCAAGACGCTCGGCCGTCACGAGAGAAAGTGTTCAAACGGACGCACGCAAGCGACGTGTTGGTAAACAAAGAGGTGTTTGGCGACATGCTCTTGCGGTTGCATTTTCTGGTGCCATCATCTTTCTCCTGGTAAAGTGTACTATGCATCTGGTCTCCCGCAACGGGGCAGCTATCAGGATGTTATCTAATGGCTTCAGGGGGCAGACAGTAGGGCTGCTTCGTCGCCAGCTGGCGGTGAGTACAGTTTCCCTCTTGCATGCCATCAAAAGCAAATTAATACCATGAGGTAGCTGAAGCAGCATGTGCGCGAATGTTGTGCCCCGTCCTTCGTGCGCTCCGCACAGCTCTCACCTGGTGATGGTGGTGACGCCTGCACGCCGCCAAGAGCCCCACAACAAAGCAAGCGAGAAAGCAAATCAAAACGGCCTTGGTGGCAATTATTGAAGCCAAGTAACTCAAGCTCACGGATGACAGAAACTCTAGAAGGCCCATCTGCGGGGGAGGGTGTGGCTTGGTCAGGCCAGCACAAGCCCAGCAGCGTGCGTCGTCCAGGGGAGCGAGTCGAACACACTACAAACGTGCCTATTGGAAACGAACAGTCCGTGCATTACCAAGCTATGGACACATACTACCCCTTTCCACTCCTTGGTGGTGTAGAAGCGCCTGTAAGTTGGTTCCCGTTACGACCGGGGTCCTTATTCTCCCTGAGCAAGGGCCACTCCGAAGCTTGGTTCTACACGGCAACACAATGCAAGTATCTTAAAAGTCCAGGCTTTGTTGTAAGGTGGTTAGAATGGCAACTGTCGGCGTCCAGCTGCTCTGTGTACTGCAGGAAAACCAATCGCTGCGGGAACTATTGAGGGAAATACAAGATATTGCAACATATCTTTGCAGCTTCCACACGTCAATGTTCAGCAGTAATGCAATCCTTACACAAGCAATTGATTATGTTGCAACATCGCGTCTGGTCGTGAGGCCAATTGACACCAATTCGGGGTCTACACACATTGTAGCCGCTCTTGCACTGCATACAACTTACACTTGTGCTCCTGCGGTTATGTGTCTTCACTTCTGTGAACGCCTTGCAGAGGGACTCGAGGCTAAATATGCTCTGAACAATGGCAACAGCTCGGTAGTAGTACATGTAAATATTGTTGAAACTGTGAGTTGCTTGATCCCCACTGCACTTTAGAAGTACTCTCGCCCAGAAACATGGCTGATAGTCCAACTTACTAACAAGCAGTAATTTACCTGCGTCAACGCTGTGGTGCGTTTACCTGCGCGCAGTACCTCAATGAGCCGGGTCCTCCTGATTCTCGGTTTAAGGCGTTATATCCCAGTCGGCGAGGTTGGGAACCAAGTCATGTCAGACGAGCGTGGCCCCTCCCCCATACGCAGCTATGCATGTTCCTGAACAGTAGCTGGTCTCGCTGCCAGCTCACATGACACTGGTCGCTTCTTTGTGACAACCTATTTGTTTGCCCGCAGTTTAGACGCGACTTCGCTTGTGTAGCCGAAGAGATGCTCACCAATGTGCTGGCTGAAGCGGAAGATGGCAGTGGGCTCTCCACACAAAATGTCGAACAAATGTTTCAGCTCTGTGGCAGATTGTCTCGTATTTCGTATGGATGGCACAACCGCCTACTTGATGGCCCTTCGCATGTACTTTTCATGCGACTGAAATCATAAATGGATTATTGACCCTGCAGATGTTTGGCGCTGTGTTGCAGTTAATGGAGGCGGAAGAACAACTCAGTGGGTTTTTAGGTTCCAGAAGCCGGCAGGAGTAGCCTCTGAAGGCAGAGTTCTTCTCGAGATCTATGGTACGTTCCACTGGAACAAATTATGCTCCCAGATAATCCCACCGATCAGCTACCCTGTCACGAGTTATTGTTAGTTCAGGCGTTTCATCTACCGTGTATGTACGCTCACATGCAGATCTTTTTCTTACTTGTGTTTTTCCTCAGCTGCACCAGGGGAGAACACTCAACTTGCATTGTGACGAGATCGAACTGGCTGGATCAAGCATGAAGGTCATGTACGGCAGGCGCATGCGCAGCCGATCACTTCCTCTGTGGCTTTCTACTGTGTTTGGAAGCAGAATACAGTTCCTGACAATACTGCATATGTTGCCTTTTTATTGTGCGTTACAAGTCTTAAACATATATTAGTATTATTTGCTTAAGACCCCAACGGTGGGCTTTTTACGTTTTTTGAGATGCGGAAAGTATCCGCCAAAAACTGCAGTTTCGGGTATACTTGACATACAAATGTGTTACTGCCACTTGTAGTCGACGTGAACACACGTCTGGTGCAATTGAGCCAAAGTGGGTGCGTGTGGCGTCGTGCCGTGCCATATTGACAGAGCCCTGTAGTGGGCTCTGACAATATGGCAGGGCACTAGGATACAGTACCACACGCAGCCACTTTCGCCCAAATGCACCACGTGCGCCCACGAGTGCAATCAACTTCAAGAACAGCCTGCCTCTGAAGCAATAGTGCGAAAGAGGTGATTTTCATACGCAAACATGTTGCGGAGTCTGCGCTACCGTTTCAACTAGCCACTCGATACATTTCGACAAGATATTGAGAATCAACTTAAGGCAAAATTTGTTCAACTGCGTCCTAGAGTCCGTTGGACTTCGCACAAAAGAACCCTTTTAGTGGGCTCTACCAATATGACAAGGCAGTGGGATACAGTACAACACGCAGACACTTTGGCCCCAAGGCACCATATGTAAGGTCATTCCAACTGCAAGTAACCAACTGCGTGTCAAAAAGCTCCATAGGAGCAATGCTGGGATGGAAAGACATTAGTGTAACTTCATACAAATTAAATGCACCTGGTAGGGGCCTAAGGCCAAGAATGAAATATGCGTACGACTGCTGTTGGATGCTCTACCCGGCACCATCGCCTAAATACACATCCATGCTCCCCAAGAAGAGGAAGCCACGACAGAAGAGGTAGGTTGCAGGTTCTTCCACGGTGTGTGGCCTTCATGGCTGATCGATACATGCTCAGCTGTGGTACAGCGCATGCCGAATTCTCGCGGCACTTCTGTAATCACTGCTTCTCTGTTGAGGTAAAGCCTTATTTCCTTGTAGCTGAGGAAAAGCAACAGTAGAAGAATGACCACCATAGAAACGCAGATATGTTAGCTGATGCACGTGAACTGGCAACGCCTTGCTGATACGAAGCTGTTTGCTGGAAATTCCTGGCGGCATTCTGTGTTCCCCTGGAACCTACCATGGACCTCAAGCAGAACCTTGCCAGTGGTGCCCACGCCCTTCGGCTTCTCAATAAGAGACCACAGCCGAGTTGTTTCCTGGTCTGATACAGCATTCACATCATCCCATGTTTGCAAGCTTAGCAGTGTCTCCAGCATATTATTAATGCAAACATTGCAACTACATGTCAGAATTAGCTGCTGCACACTGCCTCAGTAATGACTACGAAAGGTGCCCACAAAGCCTAATAATCTGTTCGATTATTTCTATTAGGCGCCCACCTCCACTCTCTTCAGCTTCAGCCAGCACCTTCACGAGCATCTCTTCGACTACACAAGCCACATCGCGTCTAAACTGTTCGCACAGAATGGAGTATCACAAAGGATTGTTCCGTTGTATGGCAGCAAGACCAGGTTCTGCCCAGGTTCACGCTTAGCTTCAGGGGAGTGGTGGGATTGTTGTCACTTGTGTCTTACATGGCGATGATCCACCCCGCGCCAAAGAGATTGGACCTCTCCAACGAGAAAATCTAGCGGGCCCCTACTGCCGAATGGCTGCACGCAGGTGAAAATACCCTCGTTGCTATCCCAGTGAATGACTACCTGCTTGTGCTAAGCGCGAGCTATCTATATTGGGGAAAATATTCGAGAAGCATCGTTAAAAAGTAGTTACTCACCTGTTCTTCAACCCGTATATGTACTACTGCGATACCGCTGCAATTTTTCAGCAAAACCTCGGCCTGGAATACCCCTGTCACATGTTAAAAGCACTGACGCAGCAGGGATGAAGGCACAGTAGAGTACGTCAACAGCATTTAACAGTCAGCATACACACGAACAGAGCACGAACTGCTGTAAACTGCATGCAGGTTCGATCTTGTTCCTGCATTTTATAAAATCTGATTGGATTATTATTACGGCAGTCGCATTACTTGTGGACGGTTCAGTGTGAGCGAGGCAAAGATCCCATGCAAAATCTTGCAAACTGGTTAGTGCATCTCGCAACTGCTCATTTTCCTGCAATGCACATGTCACATAACACCAGCAGCAGTCTGCTGAAATTCCTCACTTGCCCCTCTGTGCAAGTGGTCAACAAGCTTGTAACTTAAGAAGCTTCCCTTGTTTCATCGGTGTAAGACCAAGCCTAGACGCCTCCAAAGGAAGCTAGGCACTTAGTCGTGTCCCACACACACCCCGCCAATTCGTGGAAAACCGTAGTACTCGTTGGGTCTCTCATAATGCGGAGAACGTGAATATCCAAGGAACAGATGAGTTTTGTGTTCTACGCGGTGTCTTGCACTATCTTGACTGCTTGCGGAACCAGAAGACGTGGAAGGTCCCAGGAAAGTATCTTTTTCTTCTTCTTCTTCTTCTCTGTTCCCTTCTGCAGCTGGTGGATGCTGCATACTCGAAGATTTCCCACTCCAAAGCGTCGACCAGAGTGATTTATTGCCCTCTTGCTCACTCTCTGTTGTTTCTTCCGCGCTGCTCGCTCCGAGGCATTGCATTTCTATTTCCTCACCAGAGCCCTGAACAGAACGTAAAAGAAACGTCGAGAACGATGACGGCATCAGATCCAATATATCACAGCAGTTCTCCTGTACCTACAGTGCACACAAGTCTACCCCTGCCTTACATGATCCAACAGAGCTTTCTGGGTTTCACCCGGCCATTTACCACCTTCTGCCAGCATCCTTGTAGAAGGCCTCGTGCCGATGGCCAGTTGCATTGTGCATTTGAGAACAAGGAAAATCAGGGCAAAGGCGGAAAACAAAAGCCACAAAGAAGTTTGCCTGTGGGCGCTTCGACCACGTGTCTGTTGACCCACAAGGTCATCATATTTTCTGTGAAAGGAGGAGACTACTCGAAAGCTCTCTGTCTCAGAATATCCTGGATTTATTATTTCGGTTACCATTGTCCGCACGTATATTACCTAGATGTTGCTTTGCCGTGCCCGAGGGCTCTGCAGTGCGGTGCACAGGAGCATGAAACTCTGCAAGTCAAGGAGAAAAAACCAAGAAACTGCACGTTTTCACAATTTCACAAGCCGCACTTCGGCCAGATGTGGCAGAAGATATCTCAATTGTGCAAAAACAGTGCGAAGAAGCTCCCTGCTGTTCCTGTACCGGCAGGTGTGGGGCCCCGCAGCAAAAAAGGCTCTCGGAAATGCACGGTAAGAAGCATATCCTGTACATATTCTACCTCATCTTGGCTGCACGAGTGCTTTTACGACATGATATGCTCGTCAGTGACAAGCCTCGTAGGTTAAAAGCCTACACATTTGAGATGAGGTTCGAGCAGCCAGCAACTGCGCCTCCCGTGCTAACAGACAATGCGTCCAACCGTGCAACTTGAGAGGTTCTCACAATTTTTTAAAACTTTTTATAAATTTTCCACTCGTTTCTTGAAAACGTAGGGTAAGTTTGCTTCAACGGCAGCTTTGGTAGCCACAGCTAAACGATCCGAGTCCAGTTTTCTGACGCTCGGCATAAGTTAAGCGGAGACAAGCAGAGTCTCCGTAGCATTCGAATATCAACAATCCACAGAAAGTGATAAAAGTATACAGCTTTTCGGTAATTTCAACGGCAGCTTTGGTAGCCACAGCTAAACTATCCGAGTCCAGTTTTCTGGCGCCCGCACGGAACCCGTTTACGGTTAAGTTAAGCGGAGACAAGCGAAGTCTCCGTAGCATTCGAATATCAACAATCCACAGAACGTGATAAAAGTATACAGCTTTTCGATAATTTCTATGTGAACTCGTAAGCGAACCCGATCTCTGCAAGCGCTACCCTTCTTGTGGCGTATGGTGAGGTTTCTACATTTCTCGACCACTGCGCTCGGGAAAACTGGACTGGGATCGTTTACCTGTCGCCGCCAGGGCTGCTGTGGTAGCAGATTTACTCCATGTTAGACGACTGGGCTGCGTGCACCGTGAAACTAGTTCCGATACACAGGGCAGGCAGATATATATTTGGTGTATTGGGCCCGTAGATTTCAATCATTGAAACGGCGTTCCCGCAAGTTCTACATGTCCAGAATTCAGCCTACTGCATATCGTAAGATTGTTTGATATTGTCAAGTTTGCCTGAAGTTGTCCAATAAGCCTTTACCCTGCACTAATAGACAATATATTTAAACAGGCAAAATTTTTCATCACCTGCCTACAGTGTGTTTGTACGTATAGCCAACAGGTTTCTAAATTATATTTTATCCAGGCACAAGCTGGTTACAGAGGCAATAGAAACCTTTCGACAATTTTCTAGGGTGTTGGCCGTGCTTTGAGTGGGTGATTTTGTACCCCGGTTTTCTCGGGTTGCCTTGCAGCAGCAAGTGGAGCATGATTTACCCCACTAGCTCATGGTGCGCAAGCCCGCCTCCCAACCGGCAGGAAGTCGTTGGACCGGTATGTCCAAGAAACCTGGAGAGTCTGTGATAGACTGGAGTGGAAGTCAACTGCGTGTTGGGACGTTTCACCCTATGTTTTCTGGCCTTATTTCCTGAACTTCGTGAGCTGCAATAGAGTGGTGGATCCCCACTACATTTGCTAGCACCACAGGTTAGCGGGGAGGGTGCGAGCAGCGCAATCCTCCCAAATCAGTT